AGGTGGGCAGGTTGCTCCGGGGAGGTTTCCCTGTGCTCTGAATGCTTCCTTTGGTGGCCCTGGTGGAAGTGCCACGAAAGAGAGCTCCAGCGTCCACAGAAACATCTTCGATGCATCCCCCCCGCCCCAAAAAAAAAAAAAAGAGCTCTTACAAGCTGTTCCACAGAGGAAGAAAGGAAGGAGGCGAGGCGGCTCTTATGTTTAGCAGCGCGGTATTGCCCAGTAGCGATACGCTGCTCCATCCGATCTCGTGCTCCTCGCACAGACCTGCAGAGTAATGGGCGAGGAGCCAAACGGCTGCAGAAAAACCGACCTCATGTGCAACCAAGAATTTATAAAAACCGTGAATCACTGAAACTGCTCAAGTTGCGGGGATCCAGCGGGGAGGTGCACAGACAGCGCAAATGCCTTAGCAGCGAATGCTATCTAGTCCACGGATTCTCAGCGGGTAGATTTTTACCTGCAGATGAAGTAAGGAAGAGAGAAATCTCCTCAGAACTTCAAAAGTGAGTGCACAGGTGTCAGATGGGCAAAAATAAAACAGAAACAATTTTCTTGTTAGTCAGAAATTTCAGATAACTAAACAATGTAAGCAACCAAAACTGATTTTTTTTTTGTTGTTGTTGTTATTTTATTAAGGAAGCCAATGCTTTTGTTCTGACTAGATTTCATTTTTAATACTGGCAATAACTTTCAGTGTGTTGTGAATGTTTTCCTTAGCTTAAATTACTGAATGTGAGAAGGACATGTAACACTCAATGAATCTTCATACTAATTTTACTATTGCACATGATCTCGTTAAAAATCAGTCTTGGAACTGTTTGTAAATGGAATTGGCTTACAATCCTTAATGTGGCAAATTGGGGGCACCGAATGCTATCGTCATTCCAAAAACTGATTTCTTTAAGGGAAGCTTTGTCTGCCTACGGACAGGTGGGATCCGCTCTGGATATTTTAATTTCCTGCCTTGTTAATTCCCAGCAATAAATTTTGATGAGATACTGATGATGATAATGACTAATAATTCTGGTCTATTTGCTTTAAGATGATAATGTTTATTTCTCTGCTTTTATTACAAAGTTTATAAACACCGGCATTTAAGTTCAAGGATATTAACCATTATCTTTTCTAGATGAAAGTTTTGAGGCTGTCCTCTTACAAATGCCATGAAAATGGTTTGGGTTTTTTGATCATTTGAAAGCATTTCCAGACTTATTCCATGGCCTTTCTTCACGTGGCTTTAATTTGATTTGCACACGGGAGCAAAAATGACAAGAAACCCCGTTTGCCATGTACAAGCTGTGTCACTGAAAGAATGGAGAAACCAGGCATAATCTGTTTTAAATGTATAACTGTGCACAAGCAGACTTGTCTTGGTGGGAGCCTCTACGCTGACAAGATAAATGGCTGCAGCAGCATCTTAGGGAACCACGTCACAATTTATGTCCTTTTGGCTGCAGCTTTCTGTGGTAGCTTATTATCAGGATTAACTAATTGGAACTACACTCTCCACAGCAGATGTAAGAGCGAAAAATTCGATGGGAAACACAGTGTCTGCTCTGTACAAGCCTGACACCTTGCTTTGGAAGCTCAGGCGATATAACACGGCTTGTGGAGAGAAAGGATGGAAGTGTCAGGCTGAGGCAAAATAAAACATCTCATCTCTGAGGTCCCTGCAGAAACACCTCAGCTGTGGGAGTGAACGGAGCTATTCATTTCTCCTCCATTAATAAGCTGATATGGTAAACTCTGAGCACGGGGAAAAAAAAGGATTAATTTTCAGAATAAAACTTTTTTTTTTCCTGTATTGAAATAACTGTTGCTTCTCTCAAGTTAGAATTAGGGGTTTTCAGGGGTTGGGGTTTGGGTCTTTTTTTTTTTTTTTTCTTTTTTTTTTTTTTTGCTATTTGAAGTTACTGGTACCTGCATCTTTCCTAACGTATTTTATATGAATTTTTAAAAAAACGATCTGGTAAATAAGGTAAACCTTTATTCTTGTGAAATTACTTTATAAGACAGAAACAAAGTAAGCATATTTGATGAGGCAGTTCTTGCAGATGAGCTGAATCTTCATCCACAAACATTTTTGTTCCCTTATAGTTAGAATTAGGTTTTTTTATTTTTCTGGCGTTCAAAGTTACTAAATCCAAAAGTCTTTCTTGCATTCAGGTTGAAAACAATGTGAACGCTCCCCACCAGCTGCAGGGTCTCAAGGAAAAATGAAGTTATTCCAAAATACAAGCGCTACTCTTAGAAATAACATTCTGTTGAGCAGGTCACTGGCCACACTGAGTGTCTCGGTTTGAGCCCAGAGGGAAACTGAGCATCACGCGGCTGCTCACTTACTCCTTCCCCCTCAGGACTGGGGAGGAAAAAATAAAGCAAAAGGCTCAGGAATCGACATGAGGACAGGGAGGGGTGGCTCACCCATTACAGTCACAGGCAAAAGACAGACTCATTAGGGGAAGAAAAAAGAACATCACTTTAATTCAAACACTAACAACAGCAACACTTATCAGAGTAGGACAAAGGACAGGGAGAGAAATATTACCACATCATCAAAATACCTTCTCCCCTTTCTCCCCAGATTCAGCTTTGCTCCTGATTTCTCTACCTCCTCCTCCCCACCAGCGGTGCAGGGGACAGGGGATGAGGGGATGCGGTCAGCCCCACCCCTCCTTCCTCCTCAGGACTCCTCACACTCTTCCCCCACTCCACCCTGGCCCCCCTCTCACAGGAGACAGTCCTCCACAAACTTTCTCCGACATGAGCCTTTCCCACGGGCCGCAGCCCTTCCCGAGCTGCTCCGGCGTGGGCCACCCCCACAGGCTGCAGTCCTCCCAGCGCCGAACGACAACAGCGGGGGCTGCTTCTTCCCACAGAGTCCCGGCCTCCTTCGGGTGTAGTCACCTGCTCCGGCGTGGGGTCCTCCGCAGGCTGCAGGTGGGCTTCTGCTCCACTGGTGACCTCCACGGGCTGCAGGGGCGTTTCTGCTCTGGCACACCTCCCCGACCTTCCTCCTCCTTTCTTCCACTGACCTGGGTGTTTGCACAGGTGCCCTCCTCCCAGGTTCCCCTTCTTAAATACGTTATCTTAGAGGCGCAGCCACCATCACTAACTGGCTCGGCCTTGGCCAGAGGTGGGGCCGAGTTGGAGCTGGGGGAGCTTTGAGAAGCTTCTCGCAGAGGCCCACCGCTGTAGCCCCCTCCCCTGCCACCAAAACCCCCCCCCACACACTGAGTGGTAAACAAAAAGGTAACTTGAACTTTGTGAATGAAAATACTTAAGAAATGGATCAGCAAAAAGTTGATCCTACGGAGCTGTCGCGCTCCAGGTATAGCCACCTCCGAAACATTTGATTTGGGAACAGACACACAGAGCAGTATCGGAGTAAGGGCTTTCCTTTACACAATAAATAACTGGGAAGGGGCAGCATGAGCGTGAGCATGGCTGTTAATGCACATCAGCTGTGATCTCAGAGGTGTCTGGAGGTGAAAGAATAGTTTAATCCCCTTTCTTCCCAGTTGAGCTTCTTTGCAGAAACAGCCAACCAAAGAGCCTCTTTATTACTAATTCTGATTACAGATATCCTGCTGCTAGGCGCTGGGCTAGCCCCGCCAGTGAGAGATCAGCAAGAAGCCACTGGGCTGTGTATCACCAGCGATGTCTGGTTCACACGATGTTTCCTTGAAAGGCTGTAAACACCCACGACTCGGGCCCCTTCACAGTTACATTTTACTTTTCCTTCATACCTTTTAAGTAAAAAAATGTGTATCATACTCCCCCTCACCTCAGGCAGAAATATCACCTCGTTTCTCTCCCGGCAGATGGACGGGGACTTGGACCCCAGATATTCACCTGCTGAAGCAAGTCGTATATGTGAGGTTCTGTTCAAAATGTTGAAGAAATCAAATATCCCGTTCTGTTGGCTGAAGGGCTTTTCCCTCACCCCCCCATCCCGTTTCCCTGCCAGGCAACGGTGCTAATCTATGGCATTTGAAAGGGAAAAAAGATTTTAGAGGAACCGCGACAAAGCAGGAACTTAATTTATACATGTGTTATTCCTTTCAATCTAATCTCCAAATTCCTTCCACAAAAAGCACGTGCCTGGCGTTTCTGCAGTTGGTAAACTGTCAGGTCTGTGTTGTGTGATTTAAATCATCGCTTGCTTTCAGGGTCTCCTTCAAAGCACGGAAATTCTGTACAATCCTCTTCTTCAGTTTCAATATTTGCTTCGAAGGATGAACCCTACGCAGCCTAGCTGTATTCCTGAAAAAGTTCCGCTCGCATCGCCGTAATCCCGGCTGCCGGGGCCGCGCAAGGTGCGCGGGCGGACGAGCGGCAGCCTCCGCCTCCCCTGCCCCGGGTCCCGCCGGCCCCACTCGCGGCTGGGTTTGCGGTGGGCGACCTCCCCGCGCGAGAAGCGCAAAAAACCGCCGAGATACCGGGGTGGGTGGGTGGGTGTGGGTGGGTGTGGGGTGGCGCGGAGGGGCTCCGCCGACCCCTCTTCGCCCCCCGCGGCGTGGCTGCGCGGCGCGCAAGGAACCGCCCCCCCCCCCCCCCACGAACCGCCTTCACACCGCGCTAAAGCCGAGCCCCAATCCCCTCGGGGAGATGCTGAGCGGATTAAAGGGCAGGAGTTTGCCACCCGCCTCCTCTCCCCGGAGCCGCCCGGCCCGCCGGCAGCCTCTCCCCGCCTTCCCAGCCCGCGGCGACCCCCGGGGAACCCCCGAGCGGCGACATGTCCCGACGGGGGGGCGGCCGGCCCACGGGCTGCCGCCGGGCGACCCGCGTGGGGGCCCGGCCGCTCGCTTGAGGAAGGGCAGGGGGATCCCTCTCCCGCCGCGGGTGTGCGCGGAGAAGCCGGGGACCGGGGGGCCAGGACCACCCGGCGCCTCCCGGGGCTGGGGGGGAAGCTCCGGCGTCCCGGCCCCGGGGCGGCCCCGGTGTCGGGGGGCGGGGAGCGGCTGGCCGGGGAGTGGGTCCCCCCCACGCCGGAGATGCCCAGCGCCGAGGCGGAGAGCGGCCCCCGGGAGGGGGCAGCGGGGGCTGCCGCCGGGGGGCCGGGCGAGGAAGAAGAGGAGGAGGAAGAGGATGGCTTCGAGGAGTACGACGACTTCTCCCAGCTGCCCGACGCTTGCAGCATCGCCTCCGACGACTCCTTCTACCCGCCGCGGGGGCTGGAGGCCGAGGAGGAGGAGGAGGAGGAGGAGGAGGAGGAGGAGGAGGAGGAGGAGGAGGAGGGGGACCGCCGGTCCCTGGAGCGGGGGGACCGCGGAGGAGCCGGGGCGCCCGGCTTCTTCCGAGCCTGCTGCGCCAACAACGCCGCCGGGCTCAGGGCGCTGATCCGCCGGGGCCCCGAGGAGCAGGAGGTGCGGGAGACCGACCGCAACCGCCGGGTGAGCACCCCGCCGCCCCCCGAACCCCCCCCCCACCCACCCCACCCACCCCACCCACCCACCCACCCCCGTGGAGCAGAGACTCGGCTGGAGGGCGCGCTTTGGGCGACACCGCTTTTGGTTGGAAGGGGCGCTGGGGCTGCGGTCCCGTGGGGGGGGGGGGGGGGGCAGGACCCCACGCAGCGGGGACGGGGGAAGGGCGCGGACCCCCCCCTCTCGCCCTGCTCGACGGGATTTGCCGTCTCTGGCAAGGGAAGGGCCCGCTTTCTGGGAAGAGAGGAAGGTTGAGTGAGAGAGATTCCAGTTCTCCCGCCGTCAGTTTTGAGCTGGGTCTTGGCTTTCCCACAGTTTAGTGGGGAGAGAGAAACCTTCCTCCTTGCTGGGCAGCCCCTCCCCTGCAGCGCTTCATGGTTTTCACCTGGGGAATTCGAACACCCGATCAAAATCTGGGATTGCCTGGTTTGGTTCCGTTTTTGTCTAGCTCCCTCCAAAACAGAAGCTTACTCCCAGTTGCTAGAATGCTAAGCAGGTCTCGGGGTATTCCTGCGCTAAACTCAGACTTTTTGGAGTTAGCCTGGTATTTGTTTTGTTGCTGGTGGCCTAGTTTGGGGTTTTGTGTCGGCACAAGGCTTGTGATTCCGTTTTTGCCTCCTGGTTAAGTGCAGGAACAGAAGTGTACTTCACTAAATCAAAAGGTGAAAACACGGGAAAGATTTCCTGGATAACGTGTAACTGGGGTGTTTGAGCAGCGATACTGAAGTTTAGCATCAGCACTTCCTTTCACTAGTATTACTACCATTTACATTAAAGCTAAGAATTTTTACTTATAGTTTGCATAAACAATCTCAAAAATACAACAAGTCTATGACAGGGATGTTTCTAAAGAAATCCTGAGTGATTTTAGTTGGGCAACTGACTTGCACATTCTGCCAAAGTAGGTGGTCTTTGCATCAAAAATGATGCAATAATTTGGGTTCGGGGCTGGCTGGAGAGAGACTTTTTTGTGCCTTAGATGTATGTACTTGTCAGACTTTTTCTGCAAAATAGCCACAGTTCCTCCCCACCCCCCAAAGGATTGTTTTTAATATGGACTTTTAGTGATTTGATTTACAGTAAACTTCAGCAAAAGAAACAGATACAAAAAGTTGTATTAATGCCTTGGAGGGGGCAGCAAACTATGGCACGGGCGTGGGAATGAGCAGCAGAGGGTAGAAATGTTTTAAATCAACTTCTCTGTCCCAGCCAGCGTACGGTGTAGTCATGCTCCTCAGCTGGTAACGTGCGCCATCCAAACGTCCGTTACAGGAGATTTTTGGAGATCCCCCAGAGACATTCGGGGCCTGAGCAGGAGCCCCAGCCCAGCCCCGGCATCCCATGGATGTTGGGTCAGCGTGCCTCGGGTGTCTGAGGGTGGGGGGAGGTTTGGCCCCACCGTACTGCGGCGTAAAAGACCGAGTGCCCCGCGGCTGCCCTTTCTCAAAGAGGGGGGGGGTGTGTGTGTGGGGCTCGCCCCCCGCAGAGGGGATGCAGCTGGCTGGGGAGCGGGGAGCATCCCCCGTCTCAGGGCTAGGGGGGTCCGGACAAGCTCAGCTCAGGCATCAGCCCCCCCAGCAGCTCCTCCTGCAGAGGTGATCCGAGCAGGGTTGTGAAAACAGCGCGTTTACCTCCCTTCACCGTCCCGCTTCCCCCCCCCCCCCAAAAAAAAACAAGCTATTCTTTACCTCTCCAGCTTCCCAGAAAAGAAACAAAATTGTCTTGAATCCAAATTGAAAGTTTCTCTTATTTGTTCATACCGAAAAAAAAAAAAAAAAAAAAAAAAAGTTTTTCTCTACTTAAGCGAATACTCCATTTAACCTGAAATTAAGCTTTGACGTCAAATTCTGTTTTCTGCATTTCTGATGAAAACAAAGCAAAAGAACTTCTGTCACGCAGCACCTTCTGGAAGCCTCATTAATGGTGTGGAAGACGTGAGTCCGGTTTCTCTCTCCACAGGAGGGTGTATAAACCCTCTCAGAGCGCCCTCATCACAGCGGGGCAGTCTCTAACTTCTCCAGGCCGGTGTGAACGGGATGGGACCAACCTTTCTGCCAGGAAGCTGAAGCGTCAGGTGTGACTGCCTGCAGCCCTGACATCCCCACAGGGAACATCAGGGCAAATTCACATTATTTGGCAGCACAAGCCCACCTTTTTCAGAGATTTTGACCTGAGAAAATGGAAGTTTTGCCCAGGTCTTTTATCTCCCTTTCTGGGGAATTTTTACAGCTCTTGAACTGGCATGTCATATAAAGTTCTTGCACATTACCCACAGACAGCACTTAGTCTTACTGCCAAAAAGTAACTGAACAAATTACATACACCACTGGTGCTGATGACATTTTTCTACTGCTGAAATCTGTACTTTTAGCTTTCAACATTTTCCTTCACCAGGATAATGTTTGTTTACAATGGTATCTGACGTATATTTATTGCAATGCGTCTTTTTTTTTTTTTTAATTTTTTTAATCTACACTGCAAATAAATAAGATACTTTTATTTCTTCTAAGATCTTGTTTCTTTTCTGCCAGGCAGGAGAGAGAAGGAAGAATAAGAAGGGTGCTGAAGGGAGGGCTGTCCAACTGAGTATATTAACTATTTTCACAACCCTGATCTGGTAATCTCTGTTAAGTCTGGACAGCGCGGTTTTATTTTCACAATTGAAAAAGTAGTTTTTTTTTTTTTTCAAAATAGACAAAACATGGAACAGGTTATGGCAGTAAGACAATACCATATTTTGATTCTGACAGTAATGAAATTCAACGTGCAAAACATAACATGAAGATGAAACTTTCTAGTGGTTAGATTCTTTAAATGAATTTGGGCACAAACTCTGGGGTGTTGCCATTGCTTTGTTTTTAAATTTTTACCTTGTCCCTAAAGTGTAAATGCATAAATTTAAAATTCAGAAGGAATTATTTCTGAAAACGTTGAGAACCAGAGGTAACTTCACATATTTTCCTCCGTCCTTTTTATGGAAATACATAATTTCTCTCCTTTGAGTCAATTTGCCAAGGCTGGATAGTGTTTTTTTTTTTTTTTTTTTTTTTTTGTGGGGTTTCTGCAGAAGCGTATTTTTCCCATGTTCCGTTGGTGAGCTGCAGAACCTCCTGCCAGGCACAGGTTTTCATTAAATCCACCTTCCCGCAGTAAACCAGGCTCTACAACAGCCGATTTATTAGTCACCACATGTAGCCCGAGGGCCAGTACCTTTGCTGTCTCGTTTTCAGCGCTGCCGAGACCACCACAGTTTACAGATCACTGCCTGCCCGGGGCCCCCCAAGGGCTGAACCCCCCATCTTCTGTTGCACTGCTTTCTGTACATGGAATCCCGAAAGCCGCGCTTGGTACTGCTCGCTTCCTCCCTTTGCCAAATCCAGTACTGAAATATTTGGAAAACAACTATGACAGCGTATAATATACTAATTGCAGATCACGCAGGGCAGCCTCCCATTCATTAACGCTGATGCGTTTACCTTCCTCACGCTGGCAGGAAAGAGGGATTTGCAAATGTATAGCTGAGGAAATAAAATCATGGCCCCAGTGAAACCTCCTGACCTGACTGGGACGAGAGTGCCACCTGGATAACGATGCTGCTTCTCACGATGTGGTGTGGGGACTGGTTTTGCCTCCTCACCAGCCACATTTCCAGAATTTCAGATATTTGCATCTCATAAGCTTAACATCACTTAATATTAAATTTTGCCCGGTGACCAGGATTATATATACTCAGAAAGACAGAGTTTCAAAATCTGGTGTTACCTAACTGCAGAATGCAAGCAAATTTAGAAATTTGCCATGACAATAGAGAAGGCAATAAGGGATGGGGGAGGGAGAGGAAAGAAGGCAAAGAACATTCACTTGCCAGATTGAAAATAATCACTGCCGCTCATCCTCGGAAAGGTTAACCATCCATGTGGTATGGTCTGTATTAGTAGGTGTTCTGTAACTCCATATTTTAGAGTTGATATATGTGTGACAGTATTCTGTTGTCATCTTTTTCAGCTTTTCATTTTTTATGTTATTGTTCAATAAGTCTTTCATCCTGTTCCATAGATAACTAGGAACCAGTCGTTGTAAGGGTGTCATGATATAGTGGGGATCGTACATTTGTGATCTTCGTTTTGCCCCCTTAAAAGGCATGAAGACAAAATAATCTAGGTGGCTCAGTCCGTAAGCTCTTTCTGCTCCTTTCAGAAAATGCTCCTAAATCCATACATGAGCACCGTTAACTTTTCCCATTAATGCTTTATACAGGATGCTGTTGATCAGTGCTGGTCTGCAGTAAATTTTCCTTTGAGGCTCAATAGTTCTGCAGCTCCTTCACCAAATGGGCCTGGATTTGTCTGTTTGTTCCTCTCTCCTTTTTTTTTTTTGTGCTGAAGGAAGAAACCAGCATTTTGAAGGCTGTTGCTGTTCCTCTTGATCTAAATTCCTTTTTATTTCCCCTCTCACGGCGCTTAGTCCTGGGGAGGGACAATGGTGCATCAAAAGCCTGGAAGTTGCTGTCACTGAACAAAAACAAGGCAGTGGGGTCCTGTCTAGACACCTGCTTGAAAATCTTGTGAGAACGTCGAGTTGTGCCAACGGTGGAAGGAAGCCTGGGAAGGTAGGAGCAGGAGAGAAGCTCCTGAGGAGGGTGGTTCGCACCATGGTGGAGCGCATGAAATAGGAGGATGGTCTCCCTGCTCCCCTCTTCCTCAGCAGAGGAGGGGGTTTCTCCAGAGGACGACTGAGACGTCCGTGTTGTGCTCGTGCTCTAACTGCTGTCCCCTTCCCCTCTGCCAAAAAAAAACCTCCCTCCGCTGACTCCGGAGAGTTTGCAGAGACCGGGCACATGGGGCTCCTCACCTGGGCACCACGCGCGCCCCCTGAAGCAGGCACGCCGCGTTGGAGAGCACCGGCAGGCGAGCCCCGGAGTGGGGTGGAGGTGTTTCTCCGGACGCCCACCTCGGTTAGTTTGGGTG